CCCGACCATAGGCCTCATGTCTAATTTGAGCACAGCAATAGATTTCATCTTCCTTCACCTTCTTCGTAAATGGTGCAACACTTCATGCACAACAAAAAATTGTTTTGAATTTCACGCCCCGGAACAAAGGCGCCTTACACCAGAGAAATCAATTGAGGCATTAATGTTTTTTAATCGGTCAGCTAATACTTCTGCTATCACTTTAAAAGCAAAATTGCAGAGGCTAATTTGGCGATATTGAGTTATACATTCCACGGTGGCACTATGAGAACTAATGTAATCTAGGGTTGGTTCAATCTGAGATATCAAACTGCCCATATGAAAATAACTCTTGTCTCCTGATTTCTTTGGTAGAACAATCCATTCATTCCGTCGGGTGCTTTTGTCGCTCCCATCCCAATTATCTGATCTCTTCCATCAACAGAGGTCTAATGAGTCCAGTGTTCATCTCAATTGATACCACCCGTGGGCATTGATCTATAATCGTGTCGAAATTTCTGTACTCCTATGTTGAGAGCAAATCGCTGAAGAACTTGGTTATTATTTCTTTTAGTCTTCCAGGCATAGCACACCAAGTCCCTTCAGTGACTTGTGATTGAGAAATCTTATTCCGTTGACGTCTTTAGATAGCTCAAGCATGGAAGAATTTGCTATAGTGATCACTCAATTTCAGCTATCAAATCCTAGACCTCAAATGCCAATACTGCTCCTCTTGACTCCGAAGCTAGTCGAATCTTGCTTAAATAGATTTCGGTCTCTCCCTATCAAGCTGGTCTGCTCTGTTGCTTACCAACTGAGTAAGCTATTATTGTAAGCTTACAACCTCCTTCCTAGCATTCTTGAACTTCTTCTTACTCCAAGATGTCAATGCCAAGGAGACTGTTAATTTATCACAGATGTCGTTGGAAGAATCGGTAGTATCACTCTATTTCTTTGTTATTTAACCTGGACACTCATCATGTTCCTGCCATAACTCTTCAAACTGAAACTCCTCTTCCCTCCCGGGTGGTTCAATAGAGCGAGTCAAGGTTAGAGGGCTATGATCCAAGCCACAACGGCTTGATCCATTCTCGAACATTCGCCAACCCATCCCTATTATTGGACAGTGTGAAGCAGCATACCTTATTCTCTAGGTCCATTACTGACAACTATACAAGAACTGTCTAAATATTTTGTCTAGACGAAAGTTCTGTGCTTGACTCCTCCCATCCTTCTCCCAATGATATAACACTTCTTTAAAACCTCCTACCATGGCCTAGGCTAGGTCTGAAGGTGCATTTAAATTCTTCATATGATGCCACAGATGCAAAAGATTTTGGCAATCCATAAGAGCATGAGGTAACGTTAATCTGAATGCAGTTCTTCTGTCATTTATGTCTACCTGCACATCTATATACTAATCATCAAAAGACTGGCTTAAGACTTATCAGGGTTTAGGACTAGGACTAGCCTTGTTATGAGCACTACCCGCTGCCAGGACTGGCACCTCCACATCCATATTTCCATTCCACAACGCGCATAGCCCTCCTGGTCCTGGTAATCCTCTCGAGTCACAAATGAACATGTGCTGGGACTGGTGTTCAACCCCCACTAATGAACGTTGCACCTCGAAAACCTCCGGTCCATGACATGTCGAGGTGCAAACCAAAGAGAGGGGAGAGAAAGACGAGATGGAGGGGTATTGGGGGACTAGAATTCGTCATCGTGTTTGTCTGAGATTCTTTGAAAAGTGCGAAATTTTTGGAAATGTCAAATTGAAAGAAGCGTTGTGATTTTGAATTTGAACCCTTTGAAGCTCGCAGCTATTTGTAGGATGTTCTTGGTTCTGTCTGATTTGCTTTCAAGGTACTTTCAACCCAAATCGAACTATTATAGATTTCGAAAAATCTCAACCCAAACCAAATCACAATTAAAACCAAACCGATAACTTCGGTTCATGTTCGATTTGGTTTGTTTCAAATAAATAACATCAGGCCAACACCCAAATAGATTAGTAATATGTTAACTAACCGGTATGCAATATCCCCATCCCTATGAAAATTACTTTAATGATCTCAACATTGAGAGAGCCAAAGAAAAATAAAGATGTTACTAGGGGTATAACCGAGTTGAGTCATATTGTCCAAGCTCGAGCTCAACTGGACTCATATATTTGATGACCGAAACTTGACCTGACTCGATTACAATCAATTTGCTCGAGCTCGAGCTCGAAAAAGCTTGAATAACATATGTTTATTGTGCACTTTTGATGATACCAATTTCTATTTTTAACTAGTAATTAACGTTTATAACAGAAACTCTATTAGCTCCTGCACCCGTCAAGTTGTGCTCGCGAGCTTGAGAATCGGCGAGCTTGAGTTCGATTCAACAAGATCTTCGAGCAGACAATCGACATAGAATGCCATGCATCTGGGTTCTCCTTCTTTCCCGGTTCATTAGCCGGTCCAACCGTTGAAATCTCCGTGTGCCCTTCCTTAAATTTCTTCACCCCTTCAACAGGACCAACACATCCAATAACTGTTAGTTTCTTAACCTTCATGTTAACAGCGCAATTCGATTAAGTTAAATGACAAAAAATTAGAAGAGTAAGTGAGTCTTCGTGCATAGGTCACTAGGTTTGCGCCTGCAGGACCTTTGTTTGGGCCAGACATGGTAGTACTAGACGCGATAATGCTTCCAACCCATAATAGCAAATCTTCAGCCCAAGAGACGAAGTCCAAAATGAAAACGTGTTACGTATTCACTTTCCAAAGAGATGAATCCAATCATCTATCCACGTTTGAAATATACGGGTAAAAGTACTAAAAAAGTCATAAACCTATTGTATTGATACCAATTCAGTCCTAAACCTTTCAATTGGGTCAATTTAATCCTAAACATTTTGGCATTTATGTCATTGAGTTCATCCAGCTCATTTTGACCGGAAATCGTTAACGTAGATGCTGACCGTCCTACGTGACACGGTGAGTATATTCAAGAGACTCACTCTTTAGGGTTTCATCCTTTATTATCGAACTAGCTTTGCACAATCTATTATATTTTTCAGAACTCCGAACGCATATTATCAACAGGAAGAAGATATCCAACTTCATTCAGGAGACTCACTCTGCAGGGTTTCATGAAGCAGTCTTCAGCTTAGAGGAGCGATCCTTCTTCACGTACTACCACAATAGAACAGTACATGATAAAGTAAGGTTACTCCTGCATAAGCTAGAGATTGGTACGGTCAGTACATTCATTGACGCAGCTAAATGCAAGTGCCGGAGATCTTCTCGATGAATCATTCGCAATCAAAGGAATCTACTGCTAGTAAGGCTTACTTATGTAGTTATTTCGACCAGGTGGAGCTTCCATGCACATATTCGTCACTCTGAGGATAGCCAAAAGCCAAACTATAGTCACTCAGAAAATTTGAAGGAGTTTCCGCAGCCAAAGGCTGTCATGACAGCCAGTGTTCTTGGCTGTTGCTTGAAGGGAACACGAAAATATTTAAGGCGTCTGTGTGACCAAAGAATACAATGATAGACACACGGTAATATTCAAGATGCTCCAATATTTCTCGTGACACAGTAAATATCCATACTTGAAATCCATATCAAACAACATCTTCCAAAGGATACGTGGAAGCACCCTGCATTTCCCCTCTCCTACAAGAAGAGTTCGAGGTTTTTCACTTTACATATAGTTATAGTCTGCATGTAGTGTCCCCGTCAGAGCAGAAGTTTAAGATAGAGGTGGCAAAATAGGTCTAGAACCCACATTACAACTCATATTCAATAATGTGGAACATAAATGGGTTGCCTTAAATTTTAAAAACATACTTAAATGAGTCATAAACGGTTTAACTAGGTCTTAAATATGTATTACATAGGTCATAAATGGGTTACCTAAAAACTTAACTGGATTTTATTTTTTTAAAATTTTCTGATTTTTATTTTTTAAAAAAATTTCTGAATTTTGTATAATTTTTTATTTTTATTTTTATTTTTATTTTTATTTTCTTTTTCTATCCTTTTTTTACTTTTCTTTCTTTTTTTTTCTTTCTTCCTTGGCCAATGGTAGGCCACGGCGACTGCCGGTGAAGCTCGAGCCCTCCGGCCTCGGGCAAGCGCGACCTCATCGGATCAGCGAGCTCATCCCTCACCTATGGCTAGTCACCAACAACCGGCCGAAGAAGAAGGAAAAAGAAAATAAAAAAATAAAAATTTTGATTTTTTTAAAAATAAAAATTATTAAAATGAGTTCACGGAGGAAAATCAAATCAAATTTTCCATACTAAATGGCGGAAAATATTTTCTAATTCATTTTCAAGTTTCAACCAGATACCGAAAAATATTGTGAAAGAAAATGACTTTAGAAATATCACATTTTCCTCGAAACAAACAAAGACTCAATTTTAAAAAAATTATAAAAATTGTCCACTAAATTTGTATTGCATGAAAGTGTTATAGTGATATAAATTTAAAAAAAAAATCATAAGTTAACAAGTTTTCCTAAATTAACAAGTTTTCCTAAATTTGATTAAATATGGAAGTATTTTAATAATATGGATGGAGTCAAGTTGGGTTGGGTATTGGTCAAAAAATTTACGTTACAAACAAATTGATCATAAACGGGCTAATAGGTCAATTTGGGTCGGATCATTTATGACCCGACCTGACCTGACCAACCCGTTTGGCAAGTGTAGCTTAAGATGATAAGAAAACCCCATGATGTATTCTAGTTCCAGTTACATCTTGGAGGCTTCCTCAGGAAAATCACCCACGAATCCCCATTCTCAATAGCGAAGAAAACAGAAAGAGAAAGAAAATGATCATCGTAGAACAGAAGCATGTGGGTTCTTCTCCTTATCACATATGGCCAAATGTAGTATAATAAGCTTTTATGGTGGAGAATCCTTTTTGAGAAGCACGAACGAATTATTTTGGCCTGTGGAAGTGCCAACATCGTATGACCGTCGCATAATAAGCCTTCAAATAAGAGAGCACGAGCACAGCGGATAATGCAGCAAAACAATGTTTGATGGAAAAATGCAGTGCCTGATGGAAGTTGCAGAATACGGACTCGGGATCGGTGTACTGATTAGAACATATATGAGACAATGATTACCCATTTGACACTCGTTGCAACACCGACACACGGGCAGGGGAAATGCGCTATTATTGCTACTTTAAAGTTACCGACATCGTCCCAGATTGAGAGTTAAACACTGCAACACTGCAGCTGCAACTCCCCTGTCAATCTTTCAAGCCTCGGCCCAAAAAAGGAAGGAGCAGTATGCGACTCCACGCATCCGCACTCGAGTCCCATCGGCTTATCTTCTCCACGTGCATCCCCCGGACTTCAAGGCCACAAATCTCCCATTCAAACAAAAGAGCCAGCCATCTCTCCTCCTCCACCAAGTAGTCTTTGCCCAATCATCATTCTGATATTGAGTATCCATCCCAGCCCACCCGGTATATTTCTAGTAAATCTGTCACAAACTTCTTCTGAATGACAAAAACGAGCGAACGATAAAGAAATTAAAATGCCAAGAATGTTTCATGATTTCATGCACAAAGCACTGGCAAATTGAATTATCTAATAACAATCTTTTTTTTGTTAGTTTTATGTTGGTTCTGTGATCCAGTTACCGTTTATGTGTTTTCACTAAAAGAATAAAAAAAATAAAAGAATTGAGAAATTAGAATCAAAAGCTAGTAGAAGATTTCAAAGCACAAACTTGCCTGTCCAAACCCACAAGGTCGGGCCTTCCAACAGAGAAGTTCCAAGCCCACACGAGGTGGAGAGGACACCGCACAGAAATTTGACTGCACGCAGCGTCTTAGCCGAAAGAGGAGAAGACCAACTGGTGCATCATGGAGTTGTACAGATGTTCAAGTCGAGGAAAGCAAAAAGTAGCAATATTTACCTTCCAGAAAAGCCTCCGACTTGTCATTGAAGATAGACCGAAGATCCGTTGTGCAGCAAGATCTTCACTCATTGAAGCATTCCCACAATATTCTGACCCTAGGTGCGAGCAACATAACTGCCGACTATTTGTTCTTCTGGGAAACCATACCCATCGATTTCGAATGTACGATTTGTTCGATCAGGTAATCCGGTCAATGAAGGGCAGTCGTCTAAAGTGAGCCTTCTAAAACGAGGCAAATTTTCCAGCCCATCAAGTGTTCGCACATAGCAGTGGGATATTTTCAGAAGTTCCAATCGCCTCAAATTATCAAGACTGACAGTCTCTTCCAGGAGACAGTTTTCGAGTTCTAATTCAGATAGACCTCTCACCGTAGAAAATTGTGAATATTGAATCACGCAGCGCTGGAGGCACAATACCGATAAGCTAGAGGGTAGCTCTCCGAGGTCACGCAAGTATGCGTAGTGCAAAACAAGTTTTCTAAGTTGAAGTTTACTAAAATGTTCAGGTAGGTTGGTAATCTTCGAGTGGCACAACTCCAAGATTTCTAGATTCGCTAGTCTTGTTATCCATCCAATTTGTGGTGGCTCAGAGGAAGAGGAAGAACTCTGCATTGGATCAGTAGGATCGAAGTTATCACTCAAGTACAGCTCTTTCAAGTTTCTCATGAAAGAAAGGTCTGGCACCGTCCACATTTTTTTGGATCCCCAGCGAAGAATGCTTAAACTTGATGGAAGTCTTTGCAAATCCCAAAGTTGGTCACATTCACTTAAATCTAGTTGTTGGAGATCAGAGAGCAATGGAAGGGTCCAGGGTAGGCCAGAGATCTGGGTAGATGATAATCTCAAGATTTTCAAAGAGGATAATCCTCTGATATCACAGAGAATCCACCCCTTCAGATTCCTGCATTGTGAAAGATCGATCTCTTCCAGCTTTTCTAGATTTTGAATGTCTTTGGGGAATTCTTCTAAGTGAGTATTCTCCATCTTCAGCACTTTCAAATTTTTCAAATGCTTGACAGACCTAGGTAAACTAGCGATCTTGGTGCTTGATAGATCCATGACTTCCAGTGCCTCAAGATTCCCAATGGAACCAGGAAGCTCAAGTAAATTCTGACAGTTTCCTAGAAGCAGGCTCCGAAGTTTCTTTAAGGAATTAATAGAATCTGGTAGTTGATCAATGGCGGCACCATCCAATCGAAGATGCACAAGAGATTCCAAGTGACCGATAGAGTCTGATATATGAGCCAAACTTTCACATTGGCAAGCGCTCAGAATCTTAAGTTTCTTCATGGAGGCTGGTTTGAAATCAATCTCCCTAATGGCAGTTCCATCAATCAGAAGTTCTTCCAAATCTTTCATACGACACAGTTCTTGCGGCAAGTCGCTGACGAATCTGCAGAACTTTAGATTTAAGTAGACTAAATTCTTTAGATTACCTATCAATGGACCAATTTGGGATAGTACGGAACAACGTTCCAGGACTAATCTCTGTAAGTCCAAACTCTGTAAGTCCATCAAAGCAGGGAAGTGTAAAAAAGCATTCAGGTTATGACAGCTGCTAAGGTTCAAAACTTTCAATTCCTTTGCCTTCTGCAAGAAAAGAGGACAGAAAAGGCTCAGTTGGTGCTAGCTATTCTAATAATCCCACGATACAGAGACATATATGCACTTTACCTTCAGGATTTGTTCCCATACTTGTGAATCTCCAGTGACCACACTGCGAGATAGATCCAGAATGACCAGTTTCTCCAGATGGAAATTAAGTAGTTTAGAGATCTGGCTGCACCCTTGCCAATCAAGCCACCTTAAATTTGAAAGAACATTATGAGAACTCCGTCCAACGGTGGCCTGGTCCAATCTCCGAAACCACAAGCGCCCTGGATAGCCAAATACATTCTGAGAACTTTCTCCAACAGTAGCCCGGTCCAATCTCAAGAACCTCAAGTGCCCTAGATTGCTAAATCTTTCACATCTAAAACATTCACTTTGTCCCTCATCAAATGTGAGACCAAGGGCTTCCACCTTACTAGGACTCTGCAAATCGAGGGAACGGAATAATTAGAAAGGGAAATGAAATATAGCCATTCACATTTCATTTTGGGAAAGAAAAATCAAGGAATGGAAGTATCTTCAAAGATTGTTGACTATGTCTAAGCTAAAAGATCTTATGCTTGAAAAGTATACCTGCCCTACATTAAGTGCGGAAAGTGCATCAACGTGATTCCATAACCTACTTCGGTTTCGAGGCTCGAGGGGATCTTGCATCCTAACAGTTTCCCTGCCAAACTCTCTTAGTTGATTATGCATCCATAATTCATTGTTTTCTCCTATTTTAACCAAACCCATGTCGCGGAGAAATTTGATTCCTCTTGGATCATATTTACATGCACGCCACATGTATGAGGGAATTCTCTCATCCGTCCCAATGAAAAAGCATGCTATATCGAGAAATATCTCTTTCGTCTCTTCATGCAAAGAGTCATAGCTTAACTCGATTGCTTTGTGGACTTTATCCTCTGGCTTCCTTCTTAAGCTATCTAATGTATCTTTCCATGTTTGTCTTTCCCCCCTATTCTTATGCAAGAATGAAGCTGTTACTTCAATTGCCAAAGGAATCCCTCCAATAGTGTCAACAATATCTCTGGACAGAGAATCATACTCATCCTCCTCGTTGTGAGTATACCCACTAAAAGCATGCATGCGGAAAAGCTGAAGAGCTTGGCGAGGCCCCACTTCTCCAACCTCATACTTATCAGCCACTCCATTTCCGTAACCATCAAGAACATCAATTCCTCTAACTGTTATAAGAATCCTGCTTCCTGGACCAAACCAACTTAGATCCCCAACTAAGTGCTTGATTTGGTCAAAATGATGCACATCATCAAGGAGAATGAGAACTTTCATTTCACTAAATGAACTTTTTATGACATTAGTCAATTGGTCAAGAGTTCCTTGCCTTCTACGTTCTTTCCTTCGCAGGTCTGAGATTAACTGTTCTTGTAGGCCCATGATGAGTCCATCGGATGCACCATTTTCTCGAATATTGGAAAGAAAACTACAACGTTGAAAGAGACGATGGATTTTATTGAAAACAACCTTTGCAACGGTTGTCTTGCCAATCCCTGGCATGCCGCATATCCCAAGAACACGTACATCTTTGTCATATACTCCGGTTGCCTGCTCATTGACATAGATGACACCAAGCTTTTTCATAACCTCCCGTACGTGAGGTTTCATTCCCACTAAACCGTCAGTCACATCTAAATCATTCTTCTTCAACCAGTCTAGAATATCTGAAACAACTTTCTCTATGAGTGCGCCATAACTGCCAAATGTGATGATGAAAATAAGGAATCATGATGAGATTACAAAATAATTAACAACATTCTTTGAAAATTACGAAGGAAATAATACAGTCAAACCGTACTAAATTGACCAACATGGATGATGCAGTGGGCAACAAGAAGGGCACGGAAAGTATACCTCATTATCAAGTCTAGCCCCATCCAGCTTATGGTTTCAAAAACATTGTGCTTGGCAAAATTCTCATAAACTTAAAGCTAATTACATTAAAAGGACAGTAAAAAGATGATTACCCATCGTTTGTATTCCGCAGATCATACCCCTTCATCTCAGTAATCTTTCGGAGAGCCTGCTTCCATTTGTCAATGACCTCGCGGTCAATTCCACAGCGCTCATGCTTACGGAAGGACTTCCTAACACGTCCACGTTGGCGTTTTAAATCAGCGGGGTCAATATCATAGAAAATGGGCACGATCAGTTGAGTGTCTGCTTCGTTGCATTCAACCATTTGTGCCAATTCCATGAGACAACTCTTACTGGATGCATAATCCTTGGAGATAATGGGTATTGATATCTTGGATTGCTTTATGGATTGAACCAATGCATCAGGGATATTATCTCCAGGATCAAGTTCATTATCGTCTCTAAAGACAATGATCCTTGCATTAATCAGGCTGGTGTAGAGGCAATCTGCAAATCCCTGGCGAGTATCGGGACCTCTAAAACTCAAAAACACTTCATAATTGGTTCTTGATGAGGTAGGGATGGGCGATGAATACGATGGCATATGCTGCGGCCGCGGTGGCCGCTGCCGCGATGAAGAGACCAACCCCTGTAAAATGAAAAAGGCGAACTTTATCCCAAGTTGCCACTTCGTTTTAGATAAATTTCGGCAGAGTAGCAAAAGCAAAAAGTGGAGGCATAAGGCCTCGATTATGATGTTCTCATCTGAGACAAATAAGGTTGCTTTATAAAGTAAAAACAAATTAACAAAACCAAAAACAAAAGGAAAGAAAAAGAGGTGACTCCATTCGATCTAGGCTCGTTGATGATGTTCTGAAAAGGATATGAGATGCAGCCGATATGAAGACCAAATCAAGATCAAGAAATGTTCCAGTAAATCCTTCATTGCAGTCCAAAGATATGTTCTAGATGTAATCATACACCAGCTAAATCAACAGTCCTAGCACAGACATGACCCAAAAAAAGAAAAAGAAACGCACAAACACGGGGAAGCGGAACTATCAACTAACCCGCCGTCTCCTCTTGCCAGTAAAACACAGGCAACGCGAACGAGTCAACACAAACGAGTTGGGGGCCATCAATATCACCTCCCTCTCTCAGCTCACTGACGCTGGCCTGCTTTGCAGGAACGTTTCCAGGTTATTAGCCGCGTCGATGGGAAGGAATTTCATGCCAGGAATAGAATATGCCGCAGGACAGAGAAAAGGCATTGTTTTCCTCGCTGTGACAGTGCAGTGACATAGTTGCAAGCATAGGTTGATACAACACCCGGGTGTCCCAACTTGCTCGTCTTCAGCCAGATTCCCTCCGGTTCCGAGGTGTTGTCGTTCACGCAAGGTTTGGTCGATAGGCAGGAGACTCGTACCGTACGTGCGTTCAAAGCCGACATTCTCGGATTGAGCAAAGAAGGTCTGGCAGATGAGGATTCTTCAGATCAATGGAGAGAGATCCCGGAGAGAAACAGAGCATAGTGGTTCTGGAATATGCAAGTATAGGGGGCGAACACTAACCATTATGTTCACCCGTTCTTTTTTATTTTCGGGATAGAAATCCATTTGACAACACAACTTCATTTTTTTTTTTGGGACAAATTTTTAGCCTAGAATTAGGTTTGGAGCAAAAATGAGAAATATATTTTTTTAACTTTTCTATTTCTGGAACAGAAATATAAATAACAACTCTCTTATTGCTCGCCTTTGCCGTCTGCCAAACATCCGCCACCTCCGAGAAATAGAAATTTAAGAATAACCTATCAAACGAAATTCTATTCTGGGAACAGAAATTTTGTGTCGTCCAGAGAATAAAAACAGAAATATCTGGCCATAAATAGAGCCTGGGAATAAAATGATTTTCATTCGCGCCTAAGTTATGCTCATTACAGTGTGGCCATCCACATCGTGCTCAACAGAAAAAAAAAAAAAAAAAGGGGTTGGTTTCTAAGGGTATTTTCGTCTGGTCACCATCAAATGCTGTGTCTATTTAGACATTCAAGCTGTGGGAATAGTGCCGGCCATGTTCCATTTGATTTCGGATTGATTTGAATTTTGATTGTTTCAAATTTCTAAAGATATAAGCAAATGGACTTAAGTGTGCTTACCAAGTCACATTTATTCATTTGAAAGTTGTCGAACCAATGACTTGGCTAATGAGTTATCCACTTGTCGTTTATTTTTTTTGACTTGTCCATGGTTCTTGTTCTCCCTTATTCCCACGACCTTCCTCCACGACCTTCCTCCATAGTAATGAAAATGCAACAATTTTCTTTCTCAAGTTTCATTTCCATTCAGTCTCATTCTAATTTACCAAACATTGGCAAGAAAGAGAATTATGATCCTAATTTTACTCAGCTGGTTTTACTCCCGATAATGAAAAAAGCCCTTTAATGATATGAAACTCTCCGCATCAGTATGGATTTTGAAATGGTAAACAAACTGATTTGTATAGTTTTACTATAATTTGAAAGCTTGGGAGGAACTTCAAGGACCAAATCTTTCATTAAATTAGCCATATTTTATGGTCCCTCCCTCCAGTTCCACCATGTGCTCCTAGGCTGCTACATAATGCTGAAGCATCTTCCCTAATAACAGGCGAGAATCTGCTGATGCTGACATGTTTATTCTTGTCCCCCCAGCACAAACCAATGAGATCTTCCAGTCACCAACTTCCATTCAGATTTCATCTGTTCTGAATTCCCTGTAGCCGCAAGCCAAACTTAACCCGGCAAGCTCTTTCTTTCGTAGAACACCTTTCCCTCACATGCTCAACGCACACTTCCCGCTCTGACCCTGGATACTAGAATTCCGTGCTCTCCATCCACATTTACTCACGAAGTTGAATTACAAAAGATTCTGCTAAAAAAGCTGAACAAAGGTTACCTAAAACAACCTATTTGTGATCTTAAACCAAGATGAAGTAAGATGCCAAAATCAATGACCACTTACAATCATTACTAGATCCTTTCTAAACAGCTCGCCCTCTCTGCCATCTGTGTTTTGAGATAAATGTCCCTGTTGGTAGTTATTGTGACGATGGCTTCATTTGAGTAGAGGGACATTTATGTCGCCTGGGGTGTTTCATACACATTACATCAGCAAGAAAACAACTGAAATGTTTTCGATTCAAATGTGAGTTCCAGGACAACGGAACTGATGTTTTCGAGTTCTCCAGCTGTAGTAAACTCATGCCCTCTGGGCTAGTTTAAAGACTAAAATCTTCTGTATAGTGTAGGCTCTCGGATTAATCTGAACCCAAGAAACAACATTCCATGAAGAAGAGTCTGTATGAAACATACAAGGCTCATAAGTCTTTCTCCGGGTATTATTACCTAGCTTGAGCAAAAGAGGTGCACTTCTTACAGTCAAATGAATTGTAAATTTGCGTACTATAGACACCTATTAATGATGATAAATCGCAAGAGAAAATTGCTTGGTATTATTACCTCGACCGAGCATGTCTTGCACTAAATGAAGTATTTGTATCTACACCTTTCACATGACATGCCAGACAACCGGCTCTATGGGGGGTTCGTGCACATGTGAGTGCTACCAACTGTGCCCCTAAATTGTGCTTATGTATACCGTAAAAGAATTGGAGATGCCTTTGACACAAGAAAATTCCTTGCAGTGCCTCCAGATTTTCAAGATCTCTTTGGATTTAAATCATTCCGAATTTACAGGAAATGACTTAAGTCACCAGTTGAATGAGAGAGACTGGATAGAAAGATGGATTGGTGAGAGAGGAAGGAATATGAAGGATCCGATAACCTTTGAGGTCGTGCAAGGGTGCTTGTTTATGGCACTTGGTTCCACTTTTGATAGATGGAGGACTCGAAAAACTTTTGGTGCCAAAATTCAAAGTGCAGCTCCAGCAATTTTTGCGCCAGTTTTCCAACTCAATTTCGTGGTGGACTTCAATGATGCTGCCCTCCACAGCTGAATGGTTTTGATTGTGTCTGAAGAGCCATGTAAATAACTGAATGTCCACTCCAGGAGCACAGGACATCAACTGTTCATTGAACATTTCAGCACGCGAGCTTTTGATGCATCCTGTACTTGCTGTGTGCTTTCTGCCTCGCATTCATTAACATGCAGCACTTCCAAGGAGGTTAACTCCTTAAGGCCTTTAAAATCATGGATCATCCTGCATCTTTGGACTACTAGGACATTCAACATCTTCAAGTTTGATATATCGGGTAATCCACCAAGTGAATGACAGTCTGACAAAATCAAACTTCGTAACTCTCCTAATTGGCCAAGCCCATTGAGATTGCGCATTTCACAGTGCGTTATATTCAAGATTTCAAGAGCAGTTAGTCCTTGAAGCCCCTTAATCTCTTCTACCGCAGATTGGACGAGATTTAGTTCTGCAAGTTTGCTCAGATGGTGAACTGCTGGCAATTGTCTCAAAGACAAACAACGTCGAATAGATAAAACGGACAATGATGAGGGAAGTTCTGGCACATTTTCAAGATTCACACCAGATAGAACTAGCTTCTTAAGATGTGTACATGAGAGGGAACCATGCCCAAGTTGCAGTTCACCGACTTGAGAATGAGACAACTCTAACATCTTCAGTTTTGGAAGTACTATGGGCACAACTAAGAGATCACTCGATCTGGATTTTGGCTCCATCCATGTTGAGGGACATATGAGCTCCTTAGGATCTTTATCACCCAGACATATTTCCTCCAACTTCACTAAATCCTTAAGATCTGGCAAGGCCTCCATCCTTTCAGAACTCACACGCAGACAAGTTAAACCGGAGGGAAGCTCTGGCAGCGCTTGAATCTTGTTGCACCGAAGTAAATCAAGAGTCTGAAGACAAGAAAGACTTCCAATTTCCGAAGGAATGCCCGAAATACTTGAATGTCCCAATCTCAGTATCCTCAGATGACCTAGACTCTTAATTGCGGTTGGAATGGTTCCCTTCAAACTCCTACAATGGGAAGCATGTAACTCTTCAAGGTTGACCAAATTTCCAATTTCTCTGGGCAATTCTCTAATGAAGCAAGAATCCATTTTTAACACTTTTAAACGCCCCAAGCAAGTAATTGAATTGGGCAATTCAGATATGCCTGTCCCTGTTATATCCAACTCCTCTAATGAGTTTCCCAAATTGCGAATTGAATCCGGAAGTCTTCCTATCCAACGACAATCCTTTAGAGACAGGATCCGAAGTTTCCCCAGCTTTTCAACTGAGGCAGGGATTCGAGTAATTTTTGCATTTTCCAGTGAGAGTTCTGAAAGAGCTGTCGAGCCACGAACTGAATCAGGCAGGTGACTTAATTGGAGACAGTTGGAGGCACTAAAAATCTCAAGTTTCTCCATGTAACCCATTGACACAGGAATTTCTTGTACCGAAGTCCCATCAATAAGGAGCTCCTTTAGAGCTTTCATGTGACCCAGTTCAATTGGCAACATATTGAGTTCGTCGCAGAACCTCAAATTTAAGGTAGTTAAGCATTTTAGATGACGGATGGAAGGATCTAACTTCATTAGTCGAGAACATCGTTCAAGAATCAATATCTCCAAGTCTGGGAAAGAGGACAAGTCAGGGCTTATCAATAGGTCAACACAACCAGTAAGATTCAAGACTTTCAACTGTGGCATCTGCAAAAATAGCACAGAAACATCATTTCTTACACTGAACAAATCATTAGAGGATATAAATTCTAAGGCGTTGTTTGTTATGAATAAAAACAGATTTTCAATGTTTTCCAATCTTACAATCCTGGCATAGTTTAAGAAGGTTTCCGATGGAAAATGTTTTCATAATCAAAGAAGATGCTTATTTAGATTATGAAGAATGACTTACCCTTTCGACAACCAGAAAATCATTCACCCTCTAAATGTTGTTGGCAGGCAACCAATTATTTCCTTAAGTATTTCAAGAGTAACATTCAGTTCTATACATGCCATATGCCGGGAAGTGTCATGTCTTAAATCAGTCTACATAAAAAGTTTTCTGGTGAAAACTTACTCATCAAGGAAACAGTTTAATGAAGTAAACAAAGCTTAATCTACCTTGATTTTTCTCCAACCTCCCCACTCTTCAGTGACTTTGCTCCATGAAAGGTCAAGAATGACTAATTTCTCGACATGAAAATTAGTAGCTTCAAAATCTCTGGTGCATCCTTGCCATTGGAGCCACTTTAAATTTGGGAAAACATTGGCAAAATCACCAACAACTTTTGCACAATCCAAGATAAGAAACCTTATGTTTGGCATGGTCTTAAAATCTCTCGCATCAAAGTTGAGGTGGTCTGTCCCCTATAATGGAAATAGTATTAAGTGGAGTAAAAACGAGACTGCTAAATAAGTCAACGTTAAAGAGAGAGGACAATTTCTCAACACTCCAAGGCTCAAGAACAGGGCAAGGCACGCAATCCGCTATAGAATTACACAAGATACTGTACCTCCATCTTCTCTGTCTTCCAGGCCAATTCCAAATTGCATAACCTGCCTTGCTTTCCTGGATCTAGATGATCCTCTTTTCGTATGATTTGTTGGCCAAACTCCCTTAACAGCCTGGGCATCCCTAGTTCATTATCTTTTCCAATTTTTACCAGGGACATGGCATGGAGTGCATCAACTCCATCGGAGGGGGGGAAATTGGGATTATGCCACATGAATGAAGCAAGTCGACCATCCACATCAGCAGGGAGGCATGCAATATCAAGAAATATCTCTCTTTGCTCTTTGCTCAATTCTTCATAACTAACCATCAAAATCTTTTCAATATCCTGGCCAGATTGCAAAATTAGCTCCTCAAGTGCGGTCCATTCTTCTACTACTTTTCTGGACAAGAGTGAACCAATTACTTCGATAAGTAATGGGATCCCATTCACAGAGTTGATTATACCTGTTGCAATTTCATCAAAATCTGGAATTGGAAGATTTCTTCGCAGTGCATGCTTTCTGAAAAGTTCAAGAGCTTGATCATTATTCATCACGTTGATACCATAAACATGAGCCAACCCTCGAGATATGAACTCTGGAATAACAGATTTGATACTAGTGGTGACAATTATCCTAGATCCATAACCAAACCAATCAAGCTTCTCTCCAACAATTTCGTGGAGATGCGACCGTACCTCCACATCATCAAGAATAATTAGGACTTTCATGTTCCGCAATATTCCTTTAAAGAAATCGACTCCTTTTGCAACTTGATCAACCTCGTATTCTCGGTTTAGGATATCAGACATCAACTTGCTTTGCAAAAGCCGAACACCTCCAAGTTGTTTCGCCGTTGCCCCAATATCTGCAAGGAAACTACAACTGTCGAACTGAGAGGAAATTTGCTCGTAAATGACCTTGGCAAGAGTCGTCTTGCCGACCCCACCCTTCCCCAAGATTCCAATTATTCGTACATCACTGACTTCTAAATCAAGTAAGTCCATCATGTCCTCCACTTGTTTGCCGATAGGTACCCCTGGTTCTATTGCTTCGTCTTTCTTTCGAACCTCCTACAAGAGCAAATAAATTGTAAAGAAGAAAGCAGCAGCGGGAAATGAAAAAGTGTAACAATTGGATTTAATTTTCCTTTCATTTCTTGCTGCACTTCAGAAACAACACAGAAAACCCACCGGTCATATACTAGTAAATGATCCCACCTATGTTGATACGACACTTCAGCCGTTCAACAAGTTAGGATATAGCATTAAATGGAATGTAATCAACCTTTGGATAATTATACTCCGTTGGCAATTTTATCCCAGTCTCTCTAGAGATACAAAAATCATCAAAAATCATGACTGTTTACTTCCATAACTGGACCTCTAAGGTAAGGTTGTTTGCCATGCCATGGATACTCCTATATATAGGACTGGTGTGAATATTCTTACATCTCATACTTAAGGTGAACACTCTACCAAGGAAATATACTCGAGCAGTTTCCGTGATAAACTGCTGACAATTATAAATGAGAGCTACATATGAGTTTATTCACATGCACACGGTTTACCTTCAGCTTGACCACGATTTCTCCAACGACTTGTCTGATAACATGAGACGGCCTGCAACAGAAGTGAACTGTTTCAATCAGAAAAGAAAGGCCGCGGGTTTAACATTTGGGTTGATCCTATAGGACAAAGCAATAACCACCCCTATTGAACTGTGGATCAACTATTTGAAGTTTATTTCTACTTGAAGCGCAACATCAAAAACAAAGTAATCAGTTTGTTCAATTGGAGTTTAGCATTGACATGCTAGAAAAAAACTTATGAGTTGCAAACCCTCCTGTAATAAAATCTGGGCCTTTTACCTGCTAGATCCCATTTCCCATCCATGTAATGAAGCAACCACCGCAAGAGCATCTTCCCATGCGCTTACTTTCTCGGACCCATGCCTCTTCTTGTGCTCCTCTAGGGCATTGCGGTACAGAGTGGTTTTAAGCCCAACATCACGAGGTTCCACATCGTAGAATATGAGGATGATCATTTTCCCATCGTCCGACTTCTCATTGTTCTCTACGATTGCCTCAAGCTCCCAGAGACACCATGCACTGTAAGCGTAGCTTCTGGAGAATATGGGAATGTAGATCTTGGCTATGTTGATTGCTCTTAGCAGCTCCTGGCCAATCTCTCCACCAGGCGGAAGTTCTTCGTTGTCTTTGAAGAAGCAGATTCCGGCATCAGCCAAGCTATGGCAAAGGAAGTCGACAAATACAGAGCGTGTGTCGGCTCCTCTGAAACTCAAATACACATCGGCGTAGTGGGTACCAAAGGCGACGTCTCCACCCTTTGCTGCTGCATCTGCTGAGTCCTTCCCCTTCTTCATTGCGATATTATCCCAATCTCTCTAGAGATACAAAAACCATGAAAAAAATCGTGACTAATTCCTTCCGTATCCGGACCTCTAAGGTAAATTTGTTTCACATGCCATGAATCTCCTATATAAAAGACTAGTGTGTATAGTCTTACATCTCTCATACTTAAGGTGAACACTCTGCCAAGGAAACATATTCAAGCAAAGCCCATCATCAACTACCGGTAGTTAGAAATGAGAGCTACGTAAGAGTTTGTTCACATGTACACGGTTTACCTTCAGCTTGACCACGAATCCTCTGACTTCTCTGACAATGTGAGACGGGCTGCCACAGAAGTAAGCCGTTTCAGTTAGAAAAGAAAGGCCGCGAGCATGACATTCGGGTTGATGCTCTATGAAAAAGCAATAACCACTCCTATTGAGCTGCGGAACAACTATTTGAAGTTTATTTCTACCTCAAACGCAACATCAAAAACGAAGTAATCAGTTTGTTCTATTTGGAGTTTAACTTTGCTATTCGAGAAAACGATTTATGAGTTGCAAACCCTCCTGTAATAAAAGTCCGGGCCTTTTACCTTCTTGATCCTGTGACCCATCCACGAAACGAAGCGATCTCCGCAAGAGCATATTCCCACGCTTCTACTCTGTCGGACCCTAAGCTCTTCTTGTGCTCTGATAGGGCATCGCGGTACAGAGGGGTTTCAAGCCTAACATCACGAGGTTCCACGTCGTAGAATATGGGGATGATCGTTTTCCCACCACCCGATTTGACCTTGCTTTCCACCATTGCCGCGAGCTCCAGGAGACACGACTCGCTGGAAGCGTAGTTTCTGGAGAAGATGGGGATGAAGATCTTGGCCCTGTCAATTGCTCTCAGAAGCTGCCTGCCTATTTCATCACCGGGTTGAAGTTCTTCTATGTCTAGGAAGACGCGGATTCCAGCATCAACCAAGCTCCGGTACAGGAAGTCGACGAATTCGTAGCGAGTGTCGGATCCTTTGAAATTCAGGTACACATCGTAGTAGTCGCTGCTGCCCGAGGCGACATCTCCGCCCATCGCTGCTGCATCTGCCGAGTCCTTCGCCTTCTCCATTGCAGGATCCGAACGAGAAGAACAAGCAACCGCTCTGGTTTGCCTGATCGCCTCGTGTTTGGCGACTCCCAAGGAGATTATCTCGAGGATTCCCGAAACTTGGCACGTCAAATCATCTTTGAAATGCTTTCTTTCTACATTGGATCCCTGATCTTTGTTTTGCTCAATTGTACACATCCTACGTGGGAATAAAATCTTCAGAAACATCGAAGAAGAAGGAGAAAGAAAAAAGAAAAGGGAGCCCGAACAAGAGAGTGGAATATGCCAAGTGAAACGAAGAGGAGCGCATTGGGGAAGCTGTTGTCGCGGCCCCAACAGTGCCACTGCCGGCCAGGCCTCGGCGAGGGGCGTCGGTCCCCCGCTGAGCCGCCACAGGCATGCGAAGTGGGCGCCTCCGCAGTCGCCTCCACCATCGAAAACACACGATCTCTCTCTCTCTCTCTCTCTCTCTCTCTCTCTCTCTCTCTCTCTCTCTCTCTCTCTCTCTCTCTCTCTCCGAGAAGACAAGGTAAATCGTCCTTCCTCAGTCGTAACGCTCGTGGTGATATTCGACGAGAAACAGGAAGAAGATGCGACGAAATTCGATCGTCGTTGTCGTGAAGTCTCTGTCAAAAGCCTAAACCAGAGTTTTCATATTTAATTTTGGGGGGCCTTGCTTACTGATTTCCCGCCACCCCCCCCCCATTTGCTCTTTCTCTTTTCTCTTTTCTCGCCAATCAGGGCCATCCCGCCTGTACAAGTGTATATACCTGACGGGCTGATAAATTCCTTTTTTTATTTTAACGTGCCGAGAAAGTTTTTCTTCCCTCTCACTAGGAAATACCCCCATATTTTACGTACCAGAGTCCAGACAAAGCAGTTTAAGGACTTACCTAGATCCACTCTTTTTTATTTTTTTGGGATGAGTGATGGGCATGAGCCGACCAGGTTAACATATGCAAACCGAAAGATGCCCGCCGTGGTAAGGCGGTTCCACCGGACCCAATTTTGCAGCCATTTCATGACCCAAATTCAGATGCAAACGGTTCTGGCAATCCATAATAAGGTTTGCGACTAGCCTTGTTACGAGCACTACCCGATGCCAGGACTCGTACCACCTCATCCACATTTCCATTCCACAACACGCACGGCCCTCCTGGTCCTGGTAATCCTCTCGAGTCACAAATTAACATGTGCCGGAACTGTATTTCAATGCCCACTAGTCAACGTTGGACCTCGAAAACCTCCGGGCCGTGACATGTGGAGGCGCAAACCAAAGAGTGGGAAGAGGAAGACGAGATAGAGGGCTTTAGGGAGATTAGAATTCGCCATAGTGTTTGTGCGAGATTCTTTAAAAAGTGCGAAACATTTTTGGCAATGTCAAATTGAAAGAAGCGTTGTGATTTGAATTTGAACCCTTTGAGGCTCGCAGCCATTTGTAGGATGTTCTTGGTTCTGTCTAATTAGCTTTCAAGGTGCTTTCAACCCAAATCGAACTATTATAGATTTCGAAAAATCTCACAAACCCAAATCAAATCACAATCCAAACCAAACCTATAACTTCGGTTCATGATCGATTTGGTTTGTTTGAAATAAATAAACATCAGGCCAACATCCAAATTAATTAGTAACAAGTTAACTAACTGGCATGCAAAATCCCTATCCGTGTGAAAATTACTTTAATGATCTCAACATTGAGAGAGCCAAAGAAGAATAAAGATGTTATTAGGGGTGCGATCAAGTCGAGTCGAGCCGATATTGTCCACGTCCGAGCTTGACTTGATTCGCATTTTCTATGCACCAAACTCGACTCGACTTGATTACAACCAATTTGAAAAGGAACTCGAGCTTTGAGCTCGGAAACGCTCGAATAACGTAGGTGTACGATGTGATTTTGATGATATCAATGTCACTTTTTAATTGATAAATGTCTTTCATGAGGGAAAAGTGTCAAAAAAGTCCTAAACCTTTTGCATTGGTGCCAATTTAGTCCTAAATCTTTTTTTGGTGCCAATTCAGTCCTAAACCTTTTGCATTGATGCCAATTTAGTCTTAAACCTTTTTTTGGTGCCAATTCAGTCCTAAACCTTTTAAATTGGTGCCAATTCAGTACTAAATCTTTTGTTTTTGTGCCAATTTAGTCTTTCAGGCCAATTTTGACCGGAATTTGCCGACGTGGACGCCTGCCGGCCATCGACCGGTCACCGGCGCCGATGTGGCGCTGACGTGGATAACTTAAATAATATTTTAATATTTTTTGAATTTTTATTTTTTTTCCTTTTTTTTCCACTTTTTTTTTCTCTCCCCCTTCCTCTGGCAGGTCGCCGGTCCGACGACCGGCCAGAGGCCAGAGGCCGGCGAGCTCGACCTCGCCGGCCACTGGCGAGGCTCGCCCTCACCAGCCACTGGCGAGGCCCGACCTCGCCGGATCTGGCGAGGTTGAGCCTCGCCCGACCAAGGCGAGGTTGAGCCTCGCCCGACCAAGGCGAGGCTCGCCCTCGCCAGTACCAAAAAAAAAAAAAGTGGAAAAAAATTTTAAAAAATAAAAATTCAAAAAATATTAAAATATTATTAAAGTTGTCCACGTCGGCGCCGGTGACCGGCCGGCAGGCATCAACGTCGGCAAATTCCGGTCAAAATTGGCCGGAAGAACTAAATTGGCACAAAAACAAAAGGTTTAGGACTGAATTGGCACCAATTTAAAAGGTTTAGGATTGAATTGGCACCAAAAAAAGGTTTAGGACTAAATTGGCACTAATGCAAAAGGTTTAGGACTTTTTTGGCACCTCTTTCATGACAGAAGCTCAATCAAACTCGGCAAACCTGTCAAATTGCGCTCTTAAGCTAAGAATTGGCAAGCTTGAGTTCGATCCAACAAGATTCGCGAGTAGACGATCAACATAGAACACAAGCATTTGGGTTCGCTTCCTTATCACGTGGCCAAATGTAGTGAAATATGGATCGTAGACATTGTAGGCCTTAACTAGCTCTCAATCTAAAATTCCATCTTTCTTTTTATTGGGAAAATTGTCTAATAAAGTTATAAACTTATTGTAGGGCGGCTAATTGAGCCTTAAATTTTTCAATGTGATAAATTTAGTTCTAAACATTTTGATAATTAAATTTCCCCAATCTTGACACAATCTCGCTCAAGCATGCGAACGGAACCGGCACCCATCCCTTCAATGACATAGGCAATCGAAATACAGAGTCATGGAAACAAGAAGATAGAGAAGGGAAACTTTAAGAAACGGATGGGAAAGAAAAAAAAAAAGGAAAGTTGGGAAGAAAGAAGAAAAAGCAATATGCGGTTTTTAATTTTTTTAGGGATTGCAATTTTTTCAAAATCTTTAATGTGACAAAAGTTTCTGATCGTCGAAAAAATAAAGTCGGTAAGCTCAAATATTTATTTGAAATTGAATTTATCATTTCAATCTCTTATTTGAAAAAAGATTTATTTTAATTTTTTTATAAAGAAAATGGCTTCGATGCTTAATTAGAATTTTCCCTAAAAGCAATGATGACGAAGAAGAGATTACTTTTTATTTTCTCAATAAAAACAAGTTTGGATACTTTTTATTTTAATTTATTTTATTTATTTTTTGTGATTGTAGCGCCGCCTATGTCATCGTTAAAATGTACACCTAGGTTGCCTAAAATACCCCTGTGAACAATCTCTCGTATAAAATGATTAAAATCCCTAAGACGCATCACGGTCCATCGATCAGTTCCCGCCCTTCCAGAACATTCTCCCGCGTTCGAATCCCTCCTTCAACCAAGTCGCCGGAGCAACCCCAGAGCAAGCAAGATGGGCTCCTCCTCGCCGCCGGTTGCGGAGGATCCGCTGGCTGGGAACTACGGGGAGGTGCCGCTGCCGGAGCTGCAGTCGAAGGAGGAGGCGGTGGGGGAGCCGTACACGGAGGTCGATGCGCTGGCGGAGGGGATGAAGGGGAGGAGCGTGCTGGTGAGGGGGAGCGGCGGCGGCGGCGGCGGCGGCGTTCGTGCTGGTGAGGGGGAAGGGGTACAACTCGTACAAGGTGCGGTGCGTAGTGACCAAGCGGGAGGGTTCGGTCAGCAGGCAGATGGTGGAGTTCGTGGCCTCCGTGACTCCGGGATCCATCATCGACGTCCGCGGATCAGTCACGGTCCCTTCCTCCCCCATCGAGGGCGTTTCCCAGCGGGTGGAGATTCAAGTCAACCAGCTCTATTGCGTCAGCAAGCCCTTGCCCAGCCTTCCCTTCAATCTTGAGGACGAAGCAGAGATCGAGAGGGCTCCCCAGGTCTCTCTGTCGAATCATTTCATCTGTCGGCTTGTGTGTGTGGAGGCTATCCTGTTTATGTTCCGTGTTTGCAAAATTTGCACGCGGGAGAGCAGCTCCTTCGTTTCAGGAGTTTAAATTTCGTAGCCCTCGACCCGCGCACGCCTTATAGGACAGAATTGATTGTAATCCAGAGTCAAGTTGAAACTGTGAGCTTTCCATATCCCATTCCCGACGAAATTCACAAGCTCATTGTTTTGGCGGTTCTTGGTTTCTGAGGGCTTTGATCAAGTCACTACGCCGAAGCCCGTACTTGCGCTCACTGAAGGAGGTTCTGCCGTTCTTAAGCTGAACTATCCCGCATGCATGGCTCAGTTACCTGAGCTGTACATGCAAATGTATGTTCATGCTAATTATGGGCGTGTTTATGGGATTGGCCCTGCGTTTAGGGTAGAAGACTCCTACATTTGTGAATATACTGGTGTTGATGTTGAAATGGAGATTAAGAAACACTATTATGAGGTGGGAATGGGTACTTTTGGATTTCTTTTTGTGCTTTAGTTCAGTTCTGTGAAATAGACGTCTATGTGCAGGTAATGGACATTGTGGACCATATGTTCGTTACAATGTTCGACTCTTTGAATGCGAATTGCAAGAAGGAACTCGAAGCTGTTGGAAGCCGATATCATTTTAAACCTTTGAAGGTTATATGGTCTATATTTTTTCCGTAATCCCGAGAACAATAGGCAGCATAGTGCACTCATGGGCAATAAATTTTTTATTGCAGTACTTGAGAAAGACTCTGCGGCTTACATTTCAAGAAGGGGTTCAAATGTTCAAGGTCAGAAAAATATTTAGTCAGCTAATATAAGTGCACATATGTGTTTTTAAATGAAAAAATACAGATAGTGTGGGAACACATGGGGTTCATTGGCACTTGTGGAGATATGAGTTGAAAACGATGTGTATTTGGGGGAGCAATTCCATGGGATGAGAGCTGTAAATA